CACGACTACGACTACGACTACGACGGCGACGAGGACGAGCACGTGTAATGGTAAATCCCTGTGCTTCTTCAACCTCATTCACTGAGAGGTCGCCAACAACCGCTTTTCCGCCCACTTTGTGTATGAACCACCACGTTTTGTGCAGCGTGAAACCATGTGAAAAACCGTGAAAGCTGCGTGAGAAACACGTGAAACAGCGTGAAGTATTGGAGAGCCCCGAATTTGCAAAGGCTGAACAAAGGCACAAGATCCCACATTGCGTCGCGAAAATTGCGTGAGCTTGGAATTTTTTTATCTTGGTGTTGGGGGGTGTATAACTTTTCAACCATAATGCGCAAGTTTCAGGGTCCTATGCCAACGACCTAGTTGTGCAAGGCGAATGTGGGTTCCATCTCATCGTTTGGGGTGGTTGGCTCTACACGGACAGTCATACAGTAGCAACTGCAATGATATTAGCACCGGTAATGGCAATAATATTCATAACAAGCAAAGTAATGGTAGTAGTAACAGCCATTGTTGCGACTTCATTTCTGTGTGTCCAAAACACTACGTGCTGCTCCGTCTTGCTACCCCGATGTCATAGGATAATTCTGCAATCAATTTTGCAGGAGATTATCTTCGCTCGTTTAGCCCAGCTGGGGAAATGTTGGTTTTAGGACAATCAAACTTCAATCCGAAACCCCAAGCCATGAATTCCTACACCAGCAGCCTAGTTTTGTTCACAAGCAAGATACCTGCATGCCCCAGGTAACATTCAGTATGATCAGCCGGTTTGGGGCTATGGCCCAGGGTTCCCTGAAAAAAGGGCAAGCATGCCAACATGTTGCACCGTGCTCGACAATGGGACCTGGGGATGTACTGGGACTGCCTTGTGTGCGGCACTGGCTCTCGTATAGTGTTCACTGCGGGAGCCTTTCCAACCCCTTTTTGATGCCTGAAGATCTGCTGTCTGATCCGACACGCTTAGATGTCCCGTATACACAACTATTGAATCCATATTTGGGTCTACTGTAGCACCCTGTGCCCAATCAAGTCCCAGAGTCCAGAGTGCAGGATTCAGGTGATTCAGATGCTCCAGTTGCCAGGGCCCCGGTCGTGTGTGGGTCTAGGGTAACGGCTTTCAGGTTCTGGTTTGGAGTTCAGGTCGTCTTGAGGCTGTGGTTTTGGGCCGAACGTTCAGAGTTGGGAGTTGAGGTTTTCTGGCTTTTTGAAACTGATGTAGACACATGTAGACACTTGATTCACAACTCCAACCTTTGTTGCAGGAGAAAAACTACATAGGTCTCCTGGTCCTTGGGTCCTCGCAGAGCATGGGTGATATGGGTTGATTGAGACTCGGATAGGGTACTCTCGAACAATGGCGTTTGTCCACATGTGTCATACATAACCCTTGCTTGATAGGAGGCCCAATACTCCCCTAATGATACCCATATACCCAAAGGGGTTTTGAGAAAAGGGCCCTCCATCTTTGGAGACGCCATATGAAGGAGGACCCTACTACACTATTCCTTGACCAATCTATGTGGGGTTCGATGTTCATTTAAGAAACTTTGCGCCACCCCAAGTGCTTTAAACCTTAAGAGCTCCATTACAAGAAGCTTGAACGTCCTTAAGCCTTATAGCATTCTGCCCAGAAGAAATCTGAGGTTCCAATGCCAACCCAAGTCCCAAAGTGCATTCGACAAGGCGGAGACTCTTCCTTCAAGGCTGAGCAGCGAAGACAATGGGGACGAGGATGAGGAGGAAGAGGAAGAGGAGGATAACTCGGAGGAGGAAGGAGGGGTCTTACATGTGTGGGCGGGTGGTGTTCAAACAGGTCTCTTCTTGGGGTGAACTTATGGGGCATGCAGGCTTATTGTGATTGGCTGTTGGAATTACCTTAGTTCCTTCCCTGCTGCATGGATTACAGCTTACAAGGATTGCTTTCTGGGATTCTTGGGACTCTTCAGTGGTGTGGAGATTGAGATCAAGAATGGACGGGCAAATTCCTGTATGACGCTGTGTGCCAGATGCCCTCGTAATAATGGTGATTTCGCATATCAGGTTGCATGTCCATTTCGGTATTGTGTTTTCCTGTCAGGTATTTTCTTCTGCGCAGCTCCCAGCTTTGTGATCATCGAGCAGTCCTAAGACTAGAGGTGCTTAGTCTGAGTAGGTGTACTTTATGCCCCCAAGCATGCATGAAGCCCTGCACGTGCAAGGCCGTTTTTGGGGTGAGTGTCTATGTTTTGGCACCGTTTTTTTGGGGGGGATGGGGGGGAGATTTTTGTTTAAGGGTGGCCCTGGCATGGAGCGTGTTCGTAGTTATTTTGGCCTTTTCCAGCAATCATGCTTCTATCATTTTTGTCATTTCATTCATTTTCATAATTGTTCATCATCCTTCAATATGTTTGACGAATTTCCCGTTATTTTCTATCATTTTTTCATTTTCATAACTTTCATCATCTTCCATCATGTTCATCATTTACTTGACTTTGCCTTCTTTCTGTTGGATGCTTGGCTGTTAGGCATCTTGGCTTTTTGGCTTCTTGGCTTTTTGGCTTCTTGACTTTTTGGCTTCTTGGCTGTTTGGCTTCTTGGCTTTTTGGCTTCTTGGCTTCTTTGGCTTTCTGGCTTCTTCGATTTGTGGCTCCGCGATTTCTCGCTTTCTGTACCTTCTTGAAGTAGTAGTTGTGTTGGTAGTAGTTGATTGATGATCAGTAAGGGAAGATTACGCAGATAAATTTGTTTGCAAATTGGAGCTGCCCCCCCCCCTCCCCCCCCGCCCCGCCTTTGTAACGGCCATCCATACCTGCCACTGTCATCGTTTAAATCATCTCATTACTTTGCATGATCCCGACACTCACCCCTGCCCTCCCCCCCTTTGTTTTGTGAAGACATCCAAGCTTTCTGGAGTTATGTAGATCATTGTGTTTGCAATAGGGGTTGGGGGGGCTGCGCCCCCCGCACCCCACCCCCCCCCGCCTTTTTTCAATGCCATCCATGCCTCATGTGCTCATAATCTTTACTTTTTTCTTTTATACTTTTCCATGTTTTTCAGCACCAGTGTTCAGTTTGTTTAGCGCATTCATCGTTTTCCATCATGTTCATCCTCATTATTTTCATGTTGTTGATTTTGCATTATGTTCATTCTTTTCACGGTTTTCATCAGTTTCTATCATTTTCATTCTGTTGCATTATGTTTCATCATATGTCATCATTGTTCATCATTCCTCATCATGGTTCATCACTTTCTTCATTTACACCATTTTCTATCATTTGTCATCATGTTCACACATGTTCATTGTACATACATGTTCATCATTTCCTATCGTTGTCCTATCATGTTCATTATTTGGCGTCATTTTTCATCATTTTCATAGTTTTCCGATTTTTCTTTTATTTTCATGATGTTACATAATTTCCAGCATTTTACTTTCTACCATTTCCATGATGTTCCATCATTTTAAAATCATGTTTCTGTCATCTTCGTAAATTCCCTCATTTTCACATTTTTGGTAAAACTCTCTCGTTTTTCCATCATTCTTAATCATGTTGATATCATTTTACATCATTTGCAATAATTTTCATCATGTTTCATCATTTTTTCGGTTCTCATGATTTCTGTTTGTCTTTCATCAGCGCTCACAGCTTTTGCTTCAGAATCGCGCTCACACACTTCGATCCCAGGCCCGCAGCCCACTCACCCCCCCCCTTCCCCCTCCCCCAAAAAAAAGAGAAACAAGAACACATACTCAATACAATTCCATTTTTGGACTTGACCATTGTTCTTCAAACCTCAGCCATGAGACTTAAACCCAATGCGTTCCCAAATCTTCGCATGAATCTTAGAAACTCCTAAGGTGACCCTTCTGGCTTTCCAAAGGGTTGAGATAGACTGCAAGCCTCCACTTCCCGTCTTCCTACCTCATTCGCGCAGGACAAAGACCATCGTGATCGGTGCTGACCAGAAGTGCCAGTGTAGAACCCTAGCGCGATCTAGCGCTCAGACTCTCCCCTTAACGAACATGGAATCTCAGAAGGACCCCTTTGTTTACGAATGTGCTGTCAAAGGGGCCTGGATGGGATTCCATGTTTGTTTTGGGGCTTTGTAAGGAATGAGGGAATGAGCATTTGTGGTAGTTCTCCTATAAGCCTGATGAGATTCTTTGGACAATCGTTGAGGACTCATTCCTCATTCTCCGACTCCCTACCCAGCACCTGCAAGTTGTGAATGCCATGAAAAAAGCCTTCCTGACCGTGCATTCCGTGGAAGAGAGTGTGACGCCAGCGTTTGGATAGCATGACCGACGCTGTACCTAAAATCTAAACCTTTTGCACAATAAGTCTCAACACGTCAGGCCTATGGGTAGTACTGTACTGCCTCTGCAAGACGCGTGAGGATCGCTTTGGCAGTAGTTTGGCTCGAGAGCTTCCACGTGTGATTGCCTGATGTGACATCGCAGCGGCAATGATTCTTACTGGGTTGCGCTCTGTGGATGTTCTCCTGGCTTGTTTCTCGGGAAGCTTTGAGAATGCGTTTTTTTCGTTATTTTCCAAACCTGCGTGAAACTATCTACCCAGTCCCCTGTAATGTAGAGCCCCCAATATGGGATACTATATACTAATTACTATTGGGGTAATTTCTGGGAACCCTTAAGGGGATCTATTTTCTAGGGGTCTGGGTAAGCAGTTCTGGTGTCTTGATCACTCCGACCTCCGTATGACCTGACCGTTTACCAGAACTCATGGCTTTGAAGAGATTTGGGTAGGCCCTAAGCCTGGAACCGGATTTAGGGGTTCAACATGGTTCAACTCAACACTGCAGCCCTGAATCAGGTTTCCAGGACCTCACGGTCTGGCTTGAACAAGCCAATTCGATGCTTCCCAACCATGTCATGACTGGTTTCGCGGTGAGTTGCGCAGTAGCTGTGCTACTTTTCTTCCCCGTGCTCTATGCCGTGTTGAGGAGGGAGTTGCCTAAAAAAGTAGGGTTTAGGGGGGCTCAGGGTGATCCCCCCAAAAGGAAAGCCGATAATCACTCTTCATCCCCAAGCCGCTAAGTGGTCGAAACCTAAAACTCTTTGCCTTCAACCCTGAACCCTGAGCCCAGAACCCTTAAACGACCTTTGTGTGCCCCTACTGATGATGGACAAAATCGTCATGAACCAACGAGAACTGTAATACCAGAAGTCCCAATGAAGTCATGCAGGACTGGCGCCATGAAATGTACTCCAAGTGTAGGTTCAGAATCCTCTGCCAAACCCTGAACCTGAAACCTAAAACCCTGACACCTAAACCCCAAAACCTCGAGCTTTATCCCAAAACCCTGACAGCTAAACTCCTGAACCCTAAACCCTGAGAACGGGTTGCCAAAAAAGCCGTACCGTCATCTGTCAGGATTGTCTGGGTGTTGGCAGATGAGGGGCCGGCCCGAAAGTCCATGACTACATTTTTCATTCTAACCTTGGGTGTGCCTTTGTATCTGGGTCACGGTATGAAATTTCTGTATATTTTTATTTGGTTGAGCTTGCGGTTTTACAGTGGTCTATGCTGGAGGAGCTTAAACACATCCATTCCCTCAGCAACCCAGGGATTCTTGAGACCCAAGCCCTAAATCCAGGTATCCGGTGCTTGCTGCGCTTCTGCTGGTCTTGATTTGGTTGGTTGCAGGCTTCATTGTGCTCGCTGTTTCAAGTTTCGGTCCTGCTGCGCTGGGCCTTTGGGCACTGATGACGCTCTGGCAAGTGACCCGCTCATGCTGAGTCAGGAATGGGAGCATAGATCCCCAAAGTTAAGCCTCCTTGCCAATCATTGTCATAGTCCCAGCCTAGTCCTCCATTCTAAGTCCTGACTGAGGTGACGGGGGACGTGGTTTCGGAAGAGACTGCCAAAACTACCCAAGTACAGAGAGAAGACATCACATGCTGGGAGCTCGTTTTGGAGCAAGGTTAGGATCCTTTATGCTTTTTGTGCACATGAGCTTCTTTCTATCGCGAAAATCTAAAATCAAGAATCCTGCTTTTTCTGGTGGCCATATTTGCTTTTGTCTCACCTCATAATAAGCCCTACCTGCGCCCTAAACCCTAAAAGAAGTGCCTTACACTGGGCTATAAAGCGCCAAGGTTTGCGGTGTGCTGATTGGCGTGTTAAGTTGCTGCAGCTTTGGCATGCTTGCGCTGGCCTTGACCATTCTGAAGTCTCCGCCGCTTTTTCCGCTGTTTGGGTCAAGTCTAAGTTGTCGGGTTTTAAGTCATGCGGTTAGGGTTCGTGGGCTTCGGATTATGGAGTTAGGGTTCCGGATTCAAAGGGCTCAGGCTTTAAACGAGACATAAAGGTGTAGGCTCAGGTTTTCCAGTTTTCAAAGTTCCTGCTAGCATCCTACGGGAATGAAGGAGGGAACCGAGGTTGGTGATCCTTTCTATCGTGCTCCGCTTCGTGTACGAGTCCTTATGCCGCTGGCTGGTCCTGGTCCATTGCAACTTCCGACCCTTCTGTTCAGGCTGCGCCACATCACATGACATCCAGGCGTGTGTTTTTTTTTGTTTTTTTTTAAAAAAAAGCCGAAGCCCAGATGCGTTGATTACGACGTAGTGTGCACCACAGAAACGACACCTGTAGTTTTTAGAGCTTGAACCACATTTTGATAATCCCAGGATACCCCTTTACAGAGCCCCCCTAACATGGGATCCACAATTTGAGACGTTACCCAGGTGGGGCCAGAGGTCCGTCCCCTTCGAGATCTCCGATTTGAAGGTTTCTGTGCATGGATGTACCCTCCCCTTGGGTAGCATGGGATCCCAAAAAAGGCTTCAAAAAGACTACTATACTGTCCTTGCAAAGTTGGGTTTCGTTGAACTTCATGTTAGTTTTGGGTGAGGGTAGGGTTTAGACTTTGTGCTCAGTAATGTTCAGGTTTGGAGTTTTAGTTTGAGGTTAGGCTAGGTGACAGGTCTGGATTGCACTTGGCAATAAGTTTTCTTGTTTACCTTTCCCCGGAACAGATGTGATGTTCATGCAATACCCTCGAGGCATCTCGAAGCCCAGTTGCCTGTACAAAGTTTTACTGTGAAGGAATTATATTATCTCTTCCCAAAAACCCTGCTACACAGTGACCTGGGCTTCTAACGAACTTTCAATACAAGTTGTGTTAGATTTGTAGCGCGCCTTCAGGCTAGCCTGAACCGCAGCCAACCTTAAGCCATACTAGAACCCTTAAACCTCAACCCTTGAAATCCCTAAGCCTTGAACACCCGAAACCCTGTGGGTTCCTCTGCGAAGCGAGTCAAGGAACAGGTTCCAAGGAGCAAAACAGGGGATTGCGTAGAAAGGAACTACTGCAAGGATCCGTCCTTTCTTTCAAGTACTAAGCCTCAGGTACCCTGAATCCTTAAACCCTAAACCCGAAACCCTGAACCCCGAAACCTGAAATCCTAAACCCTGAACCCTAAAATCCTCAACCCTGAACCCTAAACCCTAAAATCCTGAACCCTGAACCCAAAACCCTAAAATCCGAAACCCTGAACCCGAAACTCTCAAATCCTAAGCCCTGAACCTTAAACCCTAAAATCCTAAACCCTAAACCCTAAAAATCGAAAACCCTAAACCCTAAAATCCTAAACCCTGAACCCTAAGCCGCTTCAGGTTACTCTGCGAAAGATCTCAAAAACTTGGGTGCCAGAGCAGGTGACCTGTACGACGCAGGCTTTACAATTCGTGAACTGTGCGATGATGCGGAAGCTTGGGACCCAAGATTGGCTTTTAGTTTGGGGATTGGAATAATATGGGGGTTATATAGGGGTTATAGTGGAGTAATATTGAGGTAAAACTGGGGTTATATTGGGATTGTATTGGGGTTATAATGGGGTACTATTTGGGTAATGTTGCGGCTATATTGGGATTATATCAGGGTTCTCTGGGGTGAATTCAGTTCATTAGGATTGGGGTTTGGGTTACTATCCTGGTCCCGTTGTAGGGCATCTGGGCTCCACGTGCAATTTGATGTCTTTCTCTGCATGCGCTGAAGTTTCCAGGAATTCCGTCACAGAGACTTCTATGACGCAGACCTCATGATAGAGGTGGAGAGTCGCGCGAAGCCCAAAACCCTCCCTACACCTTTGTTGAGGTTGGTCAGCACTAGACCCAAGAACTGAAATCCTCAACGCCGAACCCTATACCCAATTAGCACCCCTAATGCCCAGCCTAAAATGTTGAACCCTTGGGAGGTGCAATGGCACGAGTCTGGGGGTACCTGGTGGTGGTGGTGGTTTCCCCTTGTGTTCTTGACGTGGTTGAGTTCGCTGGTCTGCCTAGCCCCTTGGCTCTGCAAGCCTACATGTAAGGGCAACTCCGATCTATCTGTACAAATCAATACCTACGATCCCCAGACAAGGGGGGTCCCTACATAAATTTCGAGAAAACACAAATACATACATATATATATATATATATGTTTTTATGTACTTGATGTGTATAAACGGGATTCTCTGAAATCCCTGCCTACCTTTCCACGGGGGGTATGGGTCCCCTACGGCCCCGGACCCTGAACGCCGCATCCTTGAACCCCCGAAACATAAACCCCTAACCCCCTAAATCCCAACCCCTCGACTAACCCCTAGACCCCTATGTATCCCTATATTAGCCTATAATAAAGTGGTGTCCATCTTCTTTTCAATTATGAAAGGTGGCTTCACTTGTGCTGGTTATTATTCTGACCGGCTTAGCCAAGCTGATCCTGGCTGTGGTCTGGCCTGCCTACATCGCCGCAGGTTACCAGGGGAGTCAGGTTCTGGTTCAGGGTTTAGGATTTAGGGGTTAAGACTTTAAGGTTTAGGGTTTGGGGTTTAGGATTTAGGGTTTAGGACTCAGGATTTGGGCTTTAGGATCTATAGGATTTAGGGTTTTGGAGAGGGGTTCTGTGTTGCGGCGCCCTAAGCCCAAAATCATGTTGCAACAAAGCCTTTGAATGAATATCTCGTGGTTCTTTTTCATCGGTCTCAGTCTCCAAGAATTCCCGAAGACCTTGAAGTTCCAAATCCCAATCCCAAAACCCTGAGCCGATCAAGCAGAATTCCCCAGAACTCTTCAAAAACAAGCTTTAGCCTCTGATCCTCCAGACCCTCTACCGCCTGTACCCGACCATCCTTCAGGTTGATGATAGGCCCTTTAAGCCAGCAAGCCCCAATTGAAACCCTCAAGCGTAAGCCTTACCCTCAGTCCCAGCTACCCCACCATAAACCCTAAGCCCTAAAGCCTAAGTGATATATAATGTTTTGTTATACGGTAGTTTGCAATATAAGCATCTTCATGCTGTTTTCCATTCCCTCGCCCTTTCAGGTTGGCTACGCATCTTGGCCCAGGCGCGACGGAGGCGAAGCGCGAGAACGTGCTGTGAGCCCTTGGTGCAAGGTTTGAAGGCCCGGGTGCTAAAAGGCTTTTAGGGCTTTGCAAGGGCGGGGGGGGGTTCGGACTATAGGTTTTAATATTTTGTCCTGGCTTCTGGGTTTCTTGAGGGTGAGAAATTGGGGGCTTACGCCTGGGTGATGGTTTCAGGGATTTTCGAACTGGGCCGGAGCTGGACAATGCAAGAAGAGAACGTAACAAGCTGCTAGACACTAGCATTTTCCGCATCTTCGACGCAAACGCTAACCTGAAAGCCTAAGCCCGTAACATCTAAACCCTGAAGCTCACCCCTAACCCCTGAACCAAAGACTTAAACGTCCAAAAGACCTCCGGCAAAGGCTGGCTATCAGGTCGTATGGGCTGGATCCATGCTGACAAATATCTGTATGCTGAACAGGAGCGCGCGTTCTCCAAGTTTCCGGTCTAGGCTTTCGGGTTTTGGGGTTAGGCTTTTGGAGCTAAGTGTTTAGGGTTTGAAGCTTAGGGTTGGGTTTTGGGTTAAATTAAAGGTTTAGAGTTGCTTCAATTGTTTCAGGCGGTTACGCAGACTCGCATACTGCATATGTAGTATGTCTGAGGTCCACGGTTTTGAGGCACGCTGGGTCTTTCAGCAGGGATTATCGGACAATTCCAGGGCAGACATTTTTGGAGTCGCCTAGGTACATTATAGTCCGTATTCCAGGCACCAACAGCCCAAGTTCCCTTAAGCAAGCCTTTCAAGCCAAGACCACAGCGATTGATGTGCATGAAAGCTGGAGCTCCTGGGTGTTTATAGGGGAACACTTCAACCCAATCTAAACCCTAGCACCCCCCCTAGACACGAAAGCCTTGACTTTGGACCCCTGACTTTAAATCCCTACCTTAAAGCCTTGACCCCCAAACCCCAAGCCGAAACCATACCCTGATCGACTCGCAGGACCCTACGGGCGAAGTTTGATCTGGTGCAAGAGACTGTTGAAGAATGCTTGGAGTTTGCAAAAGGGGACAGGCGGAGTGGGTACTTCTCAAACTTGAGTGTAGGGGTTCAGGGTTTATTTGGAGGGGGATGCGGCTGCGGGGCTAAGCCTAAACGCCATCCCCCTCCTGTGTACACCCCCCTATGCCCAAACAACAGTCGCGTAGTCACAATTCCAGCCACGCTAAGAAGGAGCCTGCAATTGTCAAACCTAGGAGTTCCTCGAAATGAGCTGTTTGAAACCTAAAAAATCGGGACCCCCGTGATCCCTTTCTAATCGCCAGATATCCCCAGGATCTCTAAGCCCTCAAGCGCAGTCCCTGGACCCCTAAATCCTAAACCGTAAATCCCAAATTCTAAAGCCTTGTCAGGCCTGAGTTATCACCGGCACTTCAAAGTTTATCGCTTTTTCCTCCGGTGGTCGTTGGATTATTCGCTGACTCCTGGGACTTGCGCCTGCGCACTCTTGCCCACCGACTTGGGGTGTCTCTCGGGCCATCTGCCCCCCGCAGTTCAGAGGGGGTCGGGTTAAGATTTCGGGTGTGGGCCTAGCACACTTAACCCTCAGGCTTTCCAACCGTCTATCTTCTACCCCCTACACCCCGGGGCATCGCTATAATTTGCCCAAGAAAACCCATCTCTTCCCATGCAACCCGCTTCGGCTGCAAATTTGCAGCTCTCCTCCTGAGATTGCTTTGCCAGAGACAGCTTGATATGTTACGCAAGAACCCTATATCAAACTCCTCAACCCCATAAACACTCAATCCTAAACGCTGGGCCCTAGACCCTCAAACCGTCGACTTGACATCCTAAACCCTATACCCTTAAACCCTAAATCTCTACCGGAAATCCCGAAACCCTTGAATCCCGATTTCGCCCTGAAAACCTTAAAGGTGTCTCAAAACGTCGTGCAAGAAGCCTGGCGGGGCCTCGGTCGTCAGATGATTCGAATGGGCCGGGAAGCCATGGAGGAAGGCCTGCTGACGGAGGAGTTGGGGTTTGGATGTTCCATGGGTTTTCTTCGGATAACGGAAAAGAAAATGGAAATTTCTACTTAGGGTTTAAGGTTTAGGGCTTAGGGGTTTGGGGTGTTGGGTTCGGGGTTGGGGCTTAGGGTGTAGGGGTTGAGGGGCTCCAATTTCAGTACCTTAGGGTTGAAATTCTATTAGGTGAGCATAGGCGGCTTTTGGGAGGCATGTCAAGTCAGAGGGGGGGGAATGCAGTTTGGAGTTCAGAAATTGTTTGAGGGTGCGGGTTGGGATTTGGGGGCTCAATTACTTAGAGATGCTGTACAAATCTATGGTCCCAATAATAACGCTGAGACAACATAAGTCCTGTCGCAGTCAGCTGGTCTAAACCCGGTAATAGCTTATACTCTCTGATAGCTACCGGTATAGAGAGCACTTCTTTGTCTCGTATTATGCCTACCTGGGAGTTATCCTGTACTTCGAGGTATATGAGTAATTCAAACTGGAGTTCTAAGTAGGAACACTATAGATCTCTTAAGTTTCATACCCTTTCTGAGAAAACTTCGCATGAGCCTCTATGTAGCCATCCCTGGGGAGGAGTTTGTGGATGCTGTTCCCGGAGAGCTTTGCATTGGGCTCCCGGCAAGAGCGCTTTTGGATGCAGCCGCCCGCCTCTTGCTAATCCGTGCCCCCTAATCCCTAAACCGGCTGGTTTAGGAAATTGAGCTCGCAACCCTAAGCCGTGAGCCTTAAGTCCTTATGTCCCTAAACCCAAAGCCATACATTGCTTAAACCCCAGCCCCTATTCCTCATGCCAGAAACTCTAAGAAACAAGGTGGAGCGCTCACCCAGAGGCGAGCTGCTATTGGTCGGTGGTTTCCCAGTTGCGGTTGGGAATGCCTTTGTTTTTGTTAGTAGGGTTTTACAGTCTAGGGTTTGAGTTCCTTTTTTTGATGCACTCTTATGTGTATCGGACTTTGGCTCAAAGGGGGCGTACAGGGATTTGTAGGGGTACCTTCCATAGGGTTACTGGAAGCAGGACGCAAAAAGGATCCCTCAACCCTTAACCCAAGACGCACCACATGTTACCCACCCCTACATAAGAAGCTTCAAAGCTTCACTGGGGTTGCTGGCACCCATAAACCCTAAGCCCTCAACATGAGATACAATGCACCATTGTTGAGGGTCCAGATTTCCATTTCCCATGGCTAAGAAAAGCTCGAGGTGATTATACAAACCCTGAACCCAAGCCTCAGGATAACGTCTTTCTGGGACCTCTTTGCACCCCCAGAATCCTTACAACCCGAAACCTTCATCCAGCTGGAACCCAGGCCTTAGGATAACAGCAAGTCAAGTTCCTGAGCTTGGACACTTTGCGGAGAAGGCCAGTAGGTCCAAATCGGAGTTCCGCAAAGCACGAAATTAGTTGATTACGTTGCTTTGTGCGATTATTATTATTACTACTACTGCTACTACTACTACTGCTACTACTACTACTACTACTACTACTACTAGTATAGTGATGCTACTACTATTGTGGATAGAAGTTGTGGTGTCCTTACAAAGGATTATATCGGATAATGTTGAGAAATGCGCAAGTGTCCCATGGTTGAGTACGTGGGGCTCGCACCATGGTAGTTGTAATGCAGCCGTTGGTTGCGCGAACTATTGTTGCTGGTGAAAATCTTGCACCACCCAGAGCCCAAAAAGTATTCTAGTTCCTAGGGTACGATGCAGGAGTTCCTCCGCCAACAGAACTTCCCCCATCTCAACATGGAGCCCCCAAAAGTGTCCTATAAAGACTACAATCTCTTTGAAAAGTGGTTTTACGGGTTCCGTGCTACTTCTGTGGAGCCTAGAAGATGTACAAGCTTGAATACAGTAGTTACCAATAGTAGGGTCCTAGACTTCTTGGAGAATTCTAAAAATCATAGGGTACCTGAAACAAACCACAAAAGTATATTGGCAATTATATGGGCTCCTGCATTATGTGGATCCTAAACCCTACACCCTGCTTTTTTGGACCCGTAGCCCCGAACCCTACACCCTAAACCCGAATCCGCGTGTAGGTGTGGAGCCTTTTCCGGCAAGCGCAGGATGCCAGGATTGGCGCCCAAATTAGCGTGGCCGTGTCGGGAGTATTCAGGAGATATAGGTGGGACCTAAGGACCATTTAGGGGTTAGTTAGGGATTAAATATTTAGGGAGTATTTACGTGTTAATCAGGGATGCGATCTCGAGATAATGAATATAGGGATATGTGCATCCAATCATTGCGGAGCAGCGCAGTGATAGCTACATTGTACCTGTTATTATGGGGCCATTTGACAAGATCAGGGAGGTGTTTTCAAGAAAAAGATCCCCTTCAATAATTCCAGAGCATTCTAATTATAACCCTCAGAAACTGACTTGGTACAACAGAGACCCAAAACTCTGAGAACCTTTAGTACTGCGACCCCAAAAGGGAACCCTAAATGTTTTGAAGCCCCCTAAACCCTAAACCCCCCCATTTCATCTAAGGTGGAGGCACATCAACTTCTGTGCGCAGCCTTGCTGGCCGGGGGTGCAGATCCAGGTTCTCTTCCTCCAGGCCTCCTAAAACTGGCAGCCTAGAATATGGGGTGTATGGGGATCTTATTATATTATATCCAAAGCCATATTCTATCTACTTAAGGGGAAACCTGAAAAAATCCCTCAACCCGAATCCCCTACCCCAAATCCTAAACCCAACCTCAAGCCCTACTCCAAATCCTAAGCCCCGCCCAGTCGGGGGACTTGCTCCTAAGTTTCAGGCAGTCTCCCTTGCAGGCCTTGCTGAAGCGGTGCGGAGGTATGAGACTCTGCCCAAAGCAACATACGAGGCTTGCCAGGCGATCGTTCGCCCTTTGATCGCCTTTGCTCTGGAGTGCGGTAGTCAAAGCGAATTCAAGGAAAAGTTGGACCTTGTCATCCAGACGATGACGCACGTGGATTCAGAAGAACTCGGTCAGTACATTCATGCTGTCCCACGTGCTGCTGATGGAGAAATGGGCCAGTATGTGTATGCTGTCCCGCGTGCAGTGGATGGAGACGTCGCTCAGTATGTGTATGCTGTCCCTTACATGGATGATGATTTGGAGGCAGGCAACGCAAACTAGCGCAAGATGGCAATGAGAAGTCTCTGGTCAAAGTGCTACTGTCTCAGACCCGGGGGTACTTCATACACATCGCCCCGGGGCTTACAACGGAGGGCATACCATATACCCCAACTCCAGGGTCCCTCCTTCGCCAAACCACACGGAACCTGACAGTGTTTGAAGGGACAGTAGGGACAGTAGTCTATGTAGGTTCCTTCCTAAAATTAGCTCGTCTGAATTTTTGATTTTTGTTGCTACACTATCGTGGGAACATTCATCTTCTGGTGGTGGGGCTGTTGTTCGCGGAAGAGCCTAAACGCTACAAAATCTTGAGCTTTAATTCCCAACCTAAATCCAAGGCATAGTCTGAACAGGTTTCTGTTTGGGCCGTTAGGGGGTCCCATGTGAGTCTGGGGGATGGCAGTCCCCGGTTGCGAAAGTCAGCTGGGCAGTTGCCCTTACAGACTTTTTGGGCAACCGCAGCTGTCAGAATTCCTGCTTAAAAGGCTTAGGGTCGCAAAGGTGGATAACTGTTGTGGTTGAGGCTTAGGGTTCTGGCATTCGGGGTCTTAGCATTTTAAGTCGTTTGGGACTTTAAGTGTGTTGAAATCTGTGGTTGTGAGGGGCCCTAGAGCTCTTAAATCTCTGTGGACAGGCGCGGCTGACCTAAATTCTCGAAGATTTTGTGAATTCCCTTCCGGGTCGATCTCTGAGGAATATTCTGCGAATCGGAATGACAATCAATCAGTCACGGTGCCGATTTGTCAATCTCTCCGTTCCGTATTTCGGTCTGTCGGTCTGTCAGTCTCACGATCTGTCGGCCTCTGAGTCTGTCAATAGATTTGCAATTTTGTCGGTTTGGCCGTCTATCTTCTGTCGAATCTGTCGGTCTCTCCGTCTGACGGTTTGTCCGTGCATCATTTTTTTTCGATTTGACCGTCCGTTCTTGAATCTGTCGGTCTTACGGCCATGGATGCTGCGCGTATTTCGTATTCGTTATCTGCCAGGTCGATCATTCGTTCGGATTATCAAGCGACGGTTATATTCTCATATTCAATATTTAATTGTAATAGATCAAATTAAATAGATATATACATATATATATATATATTCCCGAGAATCGAAAAACATTAAATCCTAGAAGATATGCGCTAGATTGATTTATCTCTATCATTCTAATATTACAATATATTGATTAGAAGATTTTATAATGATGTTTCTTAAAAAATTGGAAATGATGATAATAATTGAGATCATTATTCATTTAATTTGATTTATTTTCTCTTTCTTCTCGTGATTGAATTTGCTATATCAAAAAAATGAGATATTTAGATATAGGAATTCTATTCATTTAAGGTTAATGGGAATTTATTTCTTATTATTTATATTTATATCGTCATAGGATTATAGATATTGGGAATTCGTATATGGGAATTAGGAAAAATATAGAATAAATATTGATGATTATAGATATTGATAAATCTATATACTCTTGATATATTCTTGAAATTCGTGAAAAAAATATATATATTTATATTCGTAGAGAATTCAAAGAATCGATAAATTTCTGAATATATTGATTAATTCTATAGATAGGATTTCGAGGTTTTTGAAATTAGATATATATATATTTATTAGAAAATTTATCAAGATAAAAATTCTCAATTTTGCTAAATTGGGAAACTAGGTTTTTGAAGGATATTCTATATATAATATTTGTAAATCATATTTTATTCTAAAAATTATGAATATTCGTAATATGAATATATATATTATATTCTGATAATTTTCGAAGATATATTTTATTAATAAAATAAAAATTTAGATATATATGATAATTGAAAAAGGACTCTTTTGGAGATAGATTTCTAATATAAAAGAGAATTTTTTGAGAAGAAAATAATTGAATTATTGAAGTGATTCTATATATTTTCTCTCATATGATATACGATCATGATATATGACTAGGATTTCATTTTATTTCTTCGGATAATTTTTTTTTTCGAAATATTCTCGGATTTATAAAAATTTAGCCGAAGACATATTTCTTGAATTAGATGAAAGAAATAAGCTCTCGGCCTAGAACATTGGAGATTTTTAGATAATTATTATCTTTGATTGCTCATAGATTATTGGAATGTATAGGACTCTGGACCTTTCCGGGGATTCGGAAGCGTTGAACGGCTCTCACTTCGAGAGTTAGCTTTTCAGCGGCGAATCTAGGGCGGGTCGATACGTAGATATCCGTTCTAGATTGGATATTTGGGGAGGTTCGTCATCTTCGCCTTCATACCGTCATTTCTCTTTGGACTTCTATATATCACTCATATAATCTTCTTGATGAGGGACGTGGCTAGCGATATTGACCAGAGCCTCTAATTGAGAAGAAATACATATGAATCTATTATAGCATATAATCGCGATACGTCTATTGGCGTTAGACGCGACGCGTAAAATCTTGCGAAGCTGCTACGGGAGATGAATATGATCATAGAGCTCTTCTGAAATGGATATAAAATTTCTGAATTGCAACGATATATAATATCGATTTCATTGCTCTTCTATGAGATCTCAGAGGGCGGGCAACGTGAAATCCAATCCGGGTCGCCTGCCAACGTATAATATTTTCTGCAGGCTGAATTTTTGATCTTTTCTCCGATCTCTCAGGTCTGGATTGAGAGATATATATGGCGATATAAAAAAGATGAAAGAAATATAAAGATATAAGAAAAAAGAAAAAATAATTATGAACCGAATTATTAATTGAATAGGCGAGAATGCGATATTCTTTGATCTATAAATTAATAAAAAAGAGAAGATAGATAGAATATATATGATTTCATTAGTTGAATGAATATATTTCTTTTAGATTATTCTATTCATTCGTTCTCCTATTAAATAATTCATGATGCCTCAAGAATATTCGTATCATCTTGGAATTTGGAATCCTTAATCATATGATTCTTATTGCCTTAAAATCTTGAAATTCAAGATATCATAAAAGGATTTGGAAAGAAGCAGATTATCAGAATATAAGTAATTTATCTTTCTAGAAATATCAGGATTTAGGATAATATATATTTTAAGATATTTTTTCTTAAAGAAATATATTTTCAATTATTAGAAAAGATTGATATAGATATCATCTTCTGATAAATCTTAGTCGAATGCTCCTTAAAATTTGAGATTTGGGGAGATGATTTTCAAAAAAAATCCTAGAGAGATATCCCTTATGATTTGAGATTTGAAGATTTATGTTATTGAAAATTCTTGGGAGATCATCCTTTAGGATTTGAGATATAGGGATTTGATTCTCTGAAATATCTTAGGGCAATAATCTTTATGATTTGAGATTTCGAGAAATCATTCTTTTATTTGGTCTTTTATCTTCAATTTCTTTTTCTTAATTGATTTATTGATTCTTTATCTTTCAAAGTTTTTATTTTCATGATTATATTGATTATTCCTTATCCGTCATTCCTCTATTTTCGTAATTAGATTATTTATTTTTTAATCTTTAAAATTCTCCGTTTTCATGATTAGATTGATTATCCCTTTTATTTCAAATTCTTGATTTTCACGATTCTATTATTTATCTCTTATCCTTGAAATTCTCTATTTTCATGATTAGATTGCCTTCTTGACCTCTAAATTCTCCATTTTCACGATTAGATTATTTAATCCCTATATTTCAAATTCTCCGTTTTATAATTAGATTATTTGCCCCTTATCCTTGAAATTCTCCAATTTCACGATAAATATATTTATCTTTATCTTTCAAATTCTCCTCTTTCACGATTAGATTATTTATTTCTTATCCTTCAAATTCTCTCTTTTCATGATGAAGATATTTATCATTTATCCTTCAAATTCTCCGATTTCATAATTTGATTATTTATTTCTTGTCCTTCAAATTCTCCATTTTCATGATGTAAATAGACCGCTCTCATATTTCAAATTCTCCGTCATACATATATATAGATATACGTATATATATATATAAATTCAATTATATATATATTGATGTCTACTTATATAAATTCAGATATCTAGATGAAATATCGATCGAATATCTATATGAGAATACGATTTTCGAATAATCACCCCAATTTTATGGATATTATATATAAGAAATAAGAATTTTCATCAAAATTGTCGTGACATTCCGTATGAGAACGCGATTTTGAATGAAAGAAAATTCGTATTTCGAATCAATTTCGATGAGAAGAAGGAAATCTCGTTATTCAA